ATAATTTTATATTATTTATTCTAAATAATTTTTAAAAAATATTTAAAAATAATCACCAAGGGATTTACAGACGGACTGTATCCGTCGACATTTGACAGAAAGAGAAATGCCAATTGCATCGATGAATTTACAGATGGAGTGTTTCTATCGGCATTTTACAGTAGCTTGGTGCAAATGTCACAATCACCGATGAATTTACAAACTGATAAATTCTATCAGCATTTCACAGAGTGATGGAAATGCCACACTCACCGACAAATTTATAGAGAGATATAATATGTCAGCATTTAACAGGGAGTTAAAAAATATTTACTGGATATACCACTATAGTCAACATAATAAATCCGTTGGTATATTTCAAGCGAAAAAAATTTTTGGTGTGCAATTTTTGTCTGTAAAACCATCGGTAATTGTTTTTTTACCAACTGACTTAGCTATGATATTAGGTATTACCGATGAAAAAAAAGCCGACAAGTGTTTTCCATCAGTAAAAAAATTATCGACGAACTCTAAATTAAATATTTAGTTGATAAAACTGTGAAATTCTGTAGTGTTAGCACAATATGCTGGCACTTGTAGAACAAAGTCTTTGATGTATGTTAAAATTTTAAAATTTAGATTAGTATAATCTAAATTCTATAGCTTTGTTTGGTTTTTAATCCTCAATCTTTGTTTTTTTTTTTTAAAAATTTCCTATTCTTCCTTAAAAGGAACTTTAGTTCACCTTAAAAAAGGTACTAAACTTCATTCTAGCTTTGAATTTGATTACTATCTTAATTCTCCAATCAACTGAGCTTGATAATACTACATGTTTTTCATTAATTAATGGTGGTAAGAGATTTCCAGGATTGAGATGCATAATGAAAAATCTAAATGAACAATCTGAAAGGTCTTTAAATTGAAAATGATAGATAAGATGCTATAAGTTTTAATAGTTATTGATATAGTTAGCAAGCTTATTTTCATTAGGTTATATATATATATATATATCATTTTTATCATTTTTATTTGAGTTTTATAAAAATTATAATGATGATATACTATTAATATCAATGAAATTGCAGTTTCCTATTAAAAGTAAAAAAAGAGAGTTTATTTTCTGTATTTTGTATACTGTTTTTTAAGAAACTAATGAGTCTTTATAATTTATCATTCTTATATTTTTATAGAGGGGATGACTAAAAAGTCATTTGCTTCTTATGACATTAAAAATCCCTTATTTGTAAAAGAGAGAAAATATTCTAGACTCATGAGAAGAAAATATCTTTGACTAAAAAAGGAGTCTGACAAGATTTCCAAAACCACGTGTATTTGAACTCGATGCTTAGTTGAGTCCGAGAGTAATTGATGTGGCAACTCGCCAGATCCATTTATGTATGGGTTCAATGCTTGGCTAAACCTAAAAATGTTAGGTTTGTCAGTTTACCAAACTCATTTATGCCCGAACTTAGTTTGATGGAGCCCAAAGATGGTGCTTAGGCTTAATGTTTAGTTGAGTTTAAGAATGTTAGATCTGGTAGTTCACCAGATCTCATATATATTTAGGCTCAATGTTTAGCTAAGCTCTCGAATATTGAATGTAACAAGTTACTAGATTCATATATACTTGGACTCAGTTATTAATTAAACCAAAGAATATTCGGTTATTACCATGCATATGATTCTTTTATATGAGAATTCAAATAAAAATAAAAGATGTTAATAAATCAAGAAAAAAACTTTCATGTTAGTGTCACATTAGGGAAGTAAAATATTTCCACCGGAAATCATCTTTCTAAATGATTAATAGCGCCTCTATGTAATTATATTGATAATATCATTAAAATAAAGTGATGTATGATGATCTAAAGATGCTTCGCATATTAAAATAATAATAAAAAATGATCAAATTGAAATATTTAAAGTTGAATTTCAAGTGGTCACGTTCAAAGGAGAAAGATTAAGAGAAACATTAAATTCTCACTTCATGAAGTTCGAATATGAGCACCCATAGACTAATTATAATAGATTTGAATGAAGGGTCAAGTAGACTAAGTTAAATTACTTTTGACACTCAAGCTATAGATTGATTAGTAGAGGTCTTACGAATACGTTTATACTATACAAATTCTGTTTTCAAGTCTACTGGCTAGTTTGTATGGGTGTGTGTGTGTAACTTTCAAAACTCTTAGTGTTGAGTGTATTGCCTAAACAAGCATGATGACGATGATGACTCCAAAATTAAGAAAGTGATACCCATGGACAATTGCTGTCAATCAAGTGACAAATCGTGTGATGGGCTTTGGATATTTGCTTTATGTTGCCACCATACCATGTAACTAGGCACCCCTGCACATGCTTATTAAATCATGTGTTGCTTTCACTTCCGTTCATTTTGTGGGCATGCGACCGCTCCCTGTCATTCTCTTTCATTGGCGAGAACTTGTTTTCTTTGATTCCTGTTTGTGAATAATTTGCATAAGAACAGATTGGAACCTTTGAATTGTGTGGCTAGCTGTGTATTGTTGTTCTCCACATCAGAATTTGTACATTCCTGCTCTATCAAGATAAATGTAAAATTGAAAGGAATTGGTTACAATAATAATAATAATAATAAGTAATAAGATTCATTTACTTTGAAGTTGTGAGTTGCTACTTGTAAGAATAAGAGAATTCTTCTGCACTGCATATTTCATTCTGTAGTTACAGTAGTATATATCACACGAGGGAGGAAGGAAAACACAATCTTATATCTAAGCAAACAATTGCTGAATATCTACTAATGATTCCAAAGATCAAGCCGAAATATATATGCTAATAACTGTATAATAATTTATAGATGGAAGGTGAATATATGCTGCTCTTAGTAAGATAATATATCCACCTCTAACTAGCTTAATTTAATTTAGAGAAGTATTTTAAATATTAACATTAAAAATAGATGTAATAAGATGTTATAAGGATTTAAATATATATATATATATATATTTGTCTACAATTACAAAACATACAAATCTTCATAATTATTAAACTTAATCTGGGTTGATTTAGTACAAAACTTATATTATAGATTGATTAAATTAATCCAAATTAATCTAAGTTAATATATTTTTTAATAAAAAAGATGTTATATTTTTTTTAAATTAATCAGATTATGAATTAACCTCTTTTTACTCACCTATGATTCAAGTTTCAATTGAATACCCCATCTTCAACTTCAGGGGTGTGTTATGAAATGTTTTATATTATAGGAAATATTGTATTTATCTTGTATAAAGTTATTCTATGTAATATAGTGTACTATATATTATAGGAAATACTGTATTTACCTTTTTAATCACTGGACTAACAACAATTGGATCAATTATTCGTCATTTTTCACTGTATACATAGCTGTCACCCTGTAGCAGAAACGTTTTCTACATTGAACAATATTAGCATGACTTTAAGCGTATAGTACGTCAATAATAATTAATTGATTGCATATCAATAAAAAAAAAAAAAAGCATGAAACGATGCTGTGAATGAATACGAATTAACTTGGGTTAAATAATACATAATCATACAAGGTTAGTGATGTAATGATAATTGATAAGAAAAGTCACTTAGCTAAATCAAGGCGTTTTTGTCATTTAATGATGACTTTGCTTAATTTCTTTTGGGTGGTGAAGATCAATGATTAGAAAGAAAAAAGTTAAAGAGTTATCTTGCTTAATTTCAGAGATATTCACTCATAGAATGAAAGAATCTGGAGAGTTCCAACTTCTTCTCCACTTTGCTGGCCAGGACCATCATGATAACGAAACTTCAGGCCACTATATTTCTTGTTGTCCTTATTAAAATCTCTGGTAGGTGTTTATTAATTACTTAGATTTGCGATCGGAGACAGACTTTTTAAAAATTTATGAGGTTGTAAGAAGGAAAAAATTGATTATGAATATATCAATTTCACTGTGGAAAGCATTTCACCATTTGTTTGTGTAATTGGAATAATTGTATTTAAGTATATTTAAATATACTTGGCTTTAAAAAATATTAAATTAATATTTTTTTTATATAATTTTGATGTGTTAGTATAGAAAACTACTTAATATATTTTAAGTAAAAAATATTATTTAAAAATATCATAAACCAGAATACCAAATTAGCATGGCAACCTCCCATCCTTGAAATATTGCTACTGCAGAAACATTACACGTTCTGATCAATGTCATTGAATTTACACCAACTATATGCTCAAGTATTTTCTTGTCTTTAACAATCGACATAGAGTTTTGTCGGTCGATTTGAGTGGACCCAGTCTTAATTAACTGTTGAAAATTGCCTTCCCTTATGACAATTACATCTGTCCATCTCTAGCTCTTGAAAAGTTGCCTCACTCTCTGTTGCTTGAAAGTAAAAGGTAATGTTTCCATCGCTGGTTTAGTTAAGCTAAATATTTCTGTTTTTTAATTTAAAATTAACATTATTGCAATCCACACTTTTTAGTGTTTTTGAAATTAAACCTGTTTTCTATATATATATATATAGAAAAGATGATCTAATGATTGAAAAATATTTAATGATATCACATCTGCTAGCATTGTGACCTAATTGAAGAAAAATATTTGATTAATTCGACAAATTAATTTAAAGAGCAAGATTAAACTGAATGGATTAAAAAATATATAAGAATTAATTAACCATATTAAAAACACATGAGTGAAAATAAATAATTAATACAAACACAGTAATTAATTTAAGGGTTTTTTTTATTGGTGGGAAAAACTTGCTTGCAAGGTTTTTAACTCACATCATCTAATTTCCTCGCTCCTGTATAATAACCGACAGTTCTTTTATCTTTGCTTTAAGGCCCCCCCCTTTTTTTTAATATATAAAGCATGAATGTCTTTCTCAGTAATTTATTTATTAAAAAATAATATAAATTATATTTTAAAAATTTATTTAATAATTTAAATTTTTAAATAAAATGATTATTTTACATGGTATTAGAGTCTTGATAACTAAACGATTGAGTTTGAATCTCACAATTTCTATTTATTTGATAAAAAAAATTAAACACAAGGTAATATAAGTTTGTGTAAGTTTCAAGTTTGAAACTCAAAAACTTTCACTTGAGAGGTATTTTAGAGAATAATATAAATTATATCCTAAAATCTTACTTAATAACTTAAATTTTTAGATTAAGATGGTTCTTTAACATTACTGGATGACAAATAAATATCAATTAACTGTTAAATAATCAAATTTTATTTATTTATTTATGAGATGAGTTTTTTATATTTATTTAAGTTTTACATCACTTAATTATAAATTATTTAACATATACATTGAAAATGATTTTAAATAAAAGCTCAAGGAAATAAAAAAATCTATGATTAAATCATAATTGTTTTTAACTAATCCATGGCTTGTTTTTGTTTCAAGATTGGTTTATGCTGTGTTTTGTTTTATTAGAAGATGAAACCATTCCCCGCTTGTAAGAAACTACAAGCAGCTGGAAAAAAAAAACTTTTTATGATTTAAAATTAATTTAGCTTCTTCTTTTTTTCAATTTCTATTAAACAAGACGTGTACGCCACAACCACTAGTAAAATCAATTTTTTTCTAATATATTTTATGAGAAAATTTATTTGATGATATATGTAAGATATAAAGATCATCTCATGAATGAAATTTATTTAATACTGTCACATCGATCACATACATATTTAACATCGATCGAGACCTAACTAAAGATAAATATATATTTGGTTAATTGGGAAAATTTAAGGAGCAAGATTTAATTGAATGGATTAAAAATATAAAATCAAATTAAAAACACATAAACAAAAATAAAGAATCGGCACAAACACGATAATTAATTTAAGGGTTTCATATATATTTGGTTAATTGGGAAAATTTAAAGAGCAAGATTTAATTGAATGGATTAAAATATAAAATGAAATTAAAAACACATAAATAAAAATAAAGAATCGACACAAACACGATAATTAATTTAAGGGTTTTATCTCACATCATCTCTAACTTCCTCCTATATAACCGACAGTTCTTTTATCTTGCTTTAAGGACTTGTTTTTTCATAATGTATAAAGCTTGCACGTATCTTTCTCATGAAGTAGTTTACTTTTGATGATAAAACCAAAAGATTATATAGTTAAATCGATCTTTTTGTGAGGGTTAAAGCTGCCACCACGAGGCTAACTCTTTTTGTAAAATCCCACTTGACGAAGCAAACGGGAGATTAACCTAGAACAATCACATAAAGTAAAAGAAAAGGAGAGTCCACAGAAAGGTGAGCAAAAAGATAGGCCAAGACGATGAGGGTGGAGGAAGTATGGCTAGCAAGATCCAATATTGTCCAGAAACTGGAGGATGAAGCAGACATATGATTATTTATTGTTAGAAATCAACTCTGTGATAATTTTAACTTAAACTTTCAATAAACATTTACTCCCTAATCTAACTAAAAACTTTTGATGTCTTTAGCTCTCAAAATGTGTAAAAAAGCAACTTATGCCTGCCTCTTTTCTTGGTCATTATTGGGATAATTATAGTTTCCTCTTTTCCTAAAGAGGTGAAAAGGTCATACCTTTCTACAATATTTACTTAGCATTAAAATTAAGTTGATCATGAATCATAATTGTAACATATTATTATTATTATTATTATTATTATTTATATGTAACATAATTATGAATTTTTGCACCATATCAAGTAAAATTAAAAATATATATACATAAAGAAAATTAAAAAAAAAATAGATCAGGCTATACACATAACAAGTCATCTTATTTTAATATTAAATAAAAAATATATATATATATATGAATTTCTTGACTATATTTATTTTTATTTACAAGTTTATTTTATTTATTTTTAAGTTCTTGGATAAAACAAATACTCATTAAAAAATAATAATAGAGAGAAAACAATTATTCTCAAGATTCTGAAAACACAAGTAATCAAGTTTTGTGCCCAAATATTCTATTTAATGAAGAGAATGGGATGATAGTGGTTCTTGGCATTCAAATTATCCAAAAAATAAATTGAAATTTGGGAAATCTTCTCATTTGTTTTTATGTTAAAAATCAGTTGAAAATAGGTTTTTTTATTCCAAAAAACTAAAGGGAGAGTTTTTGTCTAGTTTTTGGCCATTTAAATTGTCAAAAACAAGGCAAATAAACAATGTATTCTTTGTCTCAACAAATGATGAAGCAAGGCTAGAGATGTGAGCTTGGTTTTCAAGTTGTGCATGCCTAGCCTCTTATTGGTGTTGCTACTGGCCTTTTTATATCCTTTTTTTTTGCATTGAAAAAAATTTGCTATGTTGATTCATTTGCTCTTCACTTTTAACATGGTTCTTGAATAATATTATAAATATTTATTTGAATTGTAATATTTTTTTAATTATTAATACTAATAATTAATTGTAGATGAAAATTCAATTCAAATTATTATTTTTTATAAAAATTTAAATAGATTTTCAATATTATTTTAATAAATTTATTATTTTTGGAGCTTTCGACCACACATGAAATATGAAAATAATATTTTGATTTTTGTTTACTTTAACAATCATAAAATATCTTTTTTAATGGAAACAATGATTTCATTTTAAAATCTAGTGTTCATTAAGATAAACAAGAGATACATTAATAATAAAAATTATTTTAGACTTGAAAATCATAAGTTTTGTGATTATTTAAAATGACCTACATTTGTTAAGAAAAAAAAAGTATTGTTCTATAATTAGATAATTTTTTTTGAAAAACTACATACCACATGATATTAGATATTTTAATATATATCTTTGTCTTAGATTTCAGACTTAATTTTTGGTTTAGACAAACAATTTTGCTATTATTTATTAATATATATAATTCTTAATTTATTTTATTGAACACATATATTAGCTTTATTTTGCAATGAAAATTTATCCTAATAAAAAAAATTCTTAAAACAATTATATTTTCAGGTTTAATAATATTAAGAGAAATTTCAATTTATAAATAATTTTTTTATATTCAATTTGTTTTTTGGTATCCCTGTGGTGTAAGAGATATACAGAATAGTGACTTTCTAAGCAAAAGGCTTTAATTCTGGATGAAGATGGGTCCAGCTAGCTAGCGTGATAGCTAGGGGAACCAAACAATTCTTCTTGCTTTTCTTCTTTTTTTCGCTATACCTTTTTCTAAATTCTTCGCTGCACTTTATTTCATATTCTTCTTTCTTCTTCTTCTTCTTCTTCTTTTTTCACACAATTTCAATATCAATTCCGAGCCCATTAACTATTGCTCCAGAAAGTTTAAAGGAGCAGTTTGAGGATGTATTTGGAATCATATTTTTTAAAATTTTAATTTTTTTTTCTAATTTTTATATATATTTTTAAATTGTTTTGATATACTGTATAAAAATAACTAGTTGAAAAATCAACACGGACACACTTTTAAATACTATCTAAATATAAATATACATAGACTCCTATATATTTGTACCTATGGATTGTTTTATTAGCTGACTTGCTTTTTGAGTTGTTTAGTGGATACGTGTTAGACTCCAAAACTTCGATCATAATGATTTTATTCATTCTTTTTAAGTAAAATTATCATGCTTTATTTTTTTTTTAAAGATCCTCTGGTATTGTATTTTAAAAATATTTTTAAAAAATTTAAATTTTTCTATTTTAAATTAATATATTTTTAAATTATTTTAATATATTAATTTTAAAAATAATTTTTAAAAAATAAAAAATAATATTAATATATATTTTTAAATAAAAAATATTTTAAAAAGTAATCATAATTATATTCTATCAAATTAACTAAATTTTATAAAAATATATTTTTATTTAAAACTTGAATTAGATTAAGTTTTCAGTTACGAATTTTTCATATTAATTCACTAATTGACCAGAATTTAACAACTACAATTTATTATATCATGAAAAATTAAAATGAAAGAAGAAAAGCAGCAAAAAAATTTATAAAGGGCAAGCACGATATTTATTTATTTTCGAAATTGGGGCCATAAGACAACCTTAAAAAATTCCAGTTGTTATTAGTACAAACAGCATGTGGTTGTGGGAGAAGAATCCAATAATCGAACAATGTTCGAAAGTGCTTTATGTTTTATAATATTTTGTTTTTAAAAAAAAACTACTTTATGTTATGATGCACATATTACTTTATTACGTGAAATTACGATGAATCCAAAAACTGTGGGGAGACCTTATAAATAGTTGGGCATATGCCTTTGAACCTAAAATAACAATCAACAAAATCTAAAAGCTGATATGCCGTTCTTTATGATTACTTCAAAAAGAAGATTAGTAGACTTTACCAATTTTATTTTATTTTATTTTTAACATTACGTTAGATTTCTAATTGATTCCATGAAGTAATCATGTAATTCGCAATATAAAATCTGCATGGATCTCATAATTTTCTGTTTTCTAATCTAGCAAATGGTTATTAAAGATGAATTAATTAAAGTTAATTTTAATTTTTTAAAATAATTAATTTTATCATATTTTAATTAAATCATTTAAATTTTTAATTAGATTATACGAGATTAATTTACTTCTTTATCAATTTTTTAATCCAATTCGAGTTTAATAAACGGTATTATATCAACTAAACTTAAACTAAACAAAGCTAAACATTAATGAATGGCTAGCAAACTTGCGTGGTCCTTCTTATTAAAAAAAATTAATTTCATTAATTCACTTGGTCAAGGTTATAATCTTTTCTAATTTAACTTGATATTCAATCCAAATCAAATTTAAAATCGTAATCTCTCGGGTCAATTCTCTATACCAAACTAGTTTTAATAACAATGCTTTATTCTATCAAGGAAGATTAAATATAGTTCAAGAAAAAGAAGAAAAGCAACCAAAACTTTATTACCGCCGAGCAAAGGTTTTATTTATTTATTTATTTATTTTAAATTGAGACTTGCATGTCAACGTTAAGAAGTCCCTGTTGTTATTAGTACAAACAGTACATGTGGTTGTGGAAGAAAAATCCACAATCGAACAATATTGGAAAGGACTTTATGTTTTATAATTAAAAAAACAGTACTTTATGTTATGATGCACATATCACGTAATACCATGATGCATCCTCAAGATGTGCGTGGACCTTAAAAATAGATGGACTAATGCCTTCGACCCTATACTAACAATCAACACAATCTAAAAGATAATACCATTATTTATCTAAAAAAATTAACATGACATTCGATGGTTAATTGATTCCATGAAGTAATAATGTATGTGGCACTATAACATTTGCATGTATGTCATCATTTTTGTTTTCTAGTTAACATTTTTATTAACCATGATAAAGATAAGACTAGATTATAATCTAAGTAAATTTATTTATTTTTTAAAATATATATCAATATATTATCATTTTAATATGTTATTTATAAATGTTAATAAAATTTTAATAAGATTTCACTTGCGTTGATTGAATTATAACTAATTTAGGTTATTATACTATATTATATCATGTTAATTCTTTTTTTTTTCTTTTTTCTTTTTTGTGTAAAACTTGAACCAATCTTAGTTGTAAATTCTAAAATGTCTCACTCAACTGATTTGAATTTAATAACTATCGACTGCATCCACTGAATTCAAAACCATTGGCTTGCAAATAAATACAATTAGAAATCCTTCGTCCAATTATATTGTAAATCATGGGGTCAGTATGGCTGTTTAATCAGTATGGAATTTTGTATGAATCATCTTTAATTAGAAATATAGATTATGATTTAACTTGATTCGAAGTTCGGGTTTAAAACGACCAAGTGTAACAAATAAAGGGACTAAATTCCACCATTATTGAAGACGAACGCCATGAAATTGGACTCACAAGAAGCGAGCAGCATTCAAACTTGCCATTATTTTTTTTTATTTTAAGGAAAGCAAGTATGCATACAAGATCACTCAAATTGTCGTGTTTTACTCTATGGATTCCATAAGCTTATGTGTTTGCCTTTTGTCATCTATAATATATATAGACTCTTCAATAGCAGAAAAACTTGTATTAATTGTAGCTAGAATTAGAAGGATCTAAATCTTCAAGGCTCTTTTCTTTCTAATTATTGGGCATAAACAATGGAAACCCACCTTGATTTTACCACAATTCCTTCCCATTTCCTAAACCCTCTCTATTGCAAGATGACAAAAGGCAAGAAATTGTAGGAATCAAACAAAATAGACGGATAGAACAAGCAAAATAAAGTCACTTTACATAACATAACAAAGCACAAATCCCCCCCCCCCCCCCACCCACCACCCCCCCCCCACCACCCACCCACACCACCCAACCCACACACAACACACACACACACACACACACACACACACACACACACACACACACACACACACACACACACCGGAGACACTAGACGTCCCACAAGCAATGGGCATGCAGTGAATGAATGGGAAGTAGAAGCCAGCTAATTCTTTAGATATGGACTTCACACCAAACTCTATTACTCTCTTTCTCTCTCACACCCCCACCTCCTCAGTACTATATTTATACTCATCTTCCTACACACCCATATAGACACCTCCATTTTCTTTATAAATAAATCCCACTCCTCTTCTTTTCTTCCTCAAAAAAGAAAGAGAAGAAAAACACCCACATTTATCTACTTACATCCATGAAATTTGCAGGCGTGCATTAATTAGACCTCAAAGTTTTTAGTTTTACGCAAAAGAGCCCTCGATTGTTTTTTTTTAATAGACCTCCGCGTTCTCACCTGTCTTTCTTCCTGGGCGCTCACTCTGCCACGCTAGAGAAATTTCACTAGGCCAAGATGGGTTACGGTAGACTCGGGCGAAAGGAATCCGACCCAGGAGAAGGGTCCAGTAATTCATTTTCTATCAACCAACCACAACACGCCACGTCACAGCTTTCCCCGACGAGAAAAAAGAAAATCATCTTCCTTACCATCTTCTCTGTCGTATTGATCGCGGCCTCCGCCGCCTCGGCCGTGATCCTCCTCGGAGCCCGAGATAAGGCTTCCGGTCAATCCGACCCGAACAGTCTTACTCACCGGAAACCAACCCAGGCTATTTCCAAGACATGCAGCAAGACTCGGTTCCCGGCCCTCTGCGTCAGCTCGCTCCTCGACTTCCCCGGCTCAATGACTGCGTCCGAGTCGGACTTGGTTCACATTTCCTTCAACATGACTCTTCTGCACTTGGATAAAGCTCTATATCTCTCCTCGGGAATCTCCTATGTCAACATGGAGACACGTGAACGGGCAGCATTTGATGACTGCCTCGAGCTACTGGAAGACTCCATAGACGCCCTCACTCGGTCCCTCTCTACCATCGCACCATCCTCCGGCGGTGGTGGATCGCCGGAGGACGTAGTGACGTGGCTGAGCGCAGCGTTGACGAACCAGGACACATGCAATGAAGGATTCGAAGGAGTTAACGGAACTGTTAAAGATCAGATGACAGAGAAATTGAAGGATTTGACGGAGCTGGTCAGTAACTGTTTGGCGATATTTTCCGCGTCTAACGGAGGCGATTTCTCTGGAGTGCCGATACAGAATAAGAGGAGATTAATGACAGAGGATGGGGACAAATCGGAAGCGGACAATTGCCCGAGTTGGTTAGGCAGGAGAGAGAGAAGACTATTAGGCCTGCCTGTATCGGCCATACAAGCCGATATTATCGTATCGGGAGATGGGAGTGGAACGTTCAAGACAATATCGGAGGCGATAAAAAAGGCGCCTGAGCACAGTACTCGGCGGACGATAATTTATGTGAGGGCAGGAAGGTAAGGTTTGGTAAAAAATTAACTACTTTTTAAAAGTTTCAGCGTTATGATTCTGTTTTAACCGCTGCTGTTTCGTGGTAAGAAGACAAAAATAACCCTACAAGTTTGGTGGAATTGACTTTTCTTTTTATAGAGAAATAATTTTCTACGAGAGCGGTGGTGATTGTATGATTGACTTCATTGGAGCAATCATGAAAATAAAAAAAATATCATAAAACTATAATTATGTGCATAAAATGATTATTGATGTGTGTTTTGACCTTTACATGATTTGTTTTCATAAAAAAAAAAAATTATTTCATTGCTTCATAATGTTTGATCAGTGATTAGATAATTAAGTTCAATTCATAAGTATTTGATAATTAATATTTTTTTAAAGGGATTTATTCCATTGCTTCATAATGTTTGATCATTGATTTGCTTATTAAGATTTTAATTCATAATTATCATTTTTTTCAAATTAATATAGTCTTTTTGATATCCCTTTTGGGGAGTGGGAGGGGGAGTGAGGCATCATCTTTTGATATCCCCTTTGTGTGAGGCTCTCTGATAGTGGAAATTATTGGTATATTCTCATACTTTAAGCATTTTGAAAAGGTAAAGAGAGAAATATAATTTATTGATGCGTTGATTGTGTTTATGCTAATTCAGATATGTAGAGGATAACTTGAAAGTTGGGAGGAAGAAATGGAATTTGATGTTCATCGGAGATGGGATGGGAAAGACAATAATTACAGGAGGCAGAAGTGTTTTTAACCACGTTACCACATTCCACACAGCATCCTTTGGTAAGTTCTATATATTTATTTATTCTCCTTTTAATTACATTAATTAATTTAATATTCTTTCGTGTTATTCACTTCAATTTGTGTCAAAATTGATGAGGCAATGTTTCTTGACTTTTAGCTCAAAAGAGAGATTGTGGGTCAAAACTTGTTGTTTACGCTGTTTGTGACCGCCCCTTCTATGCTGCAATAATGCTAGCAGACCACAGCCCCTTCCCTTTTATTCCATTTGATCACATCATAAAGTAAAAAAAAAGAACTTGGTGATTTTCAACTTTTGTAGAGCATCAATTGTAGTTAGTCTTGCTTCAAGCTGTTCTTATTTGTTAACTATAGTCTCAACGATTGACTGCTGAAGCTTCCAAATCTATTTTTTTTAATCCAGTACTGTTTTGTATGATATTTTTTTATAAAAATAAATTTTAATTAAAAATATATTTTTTGAATATATTTAATTTTTAACATTAATGTATTAGAATAATGGAAAAACATGGAAAAAAAACATTAATTTTATGTTATTGATTTAGAGCATGGGAAGAGCAGCCGCCCTAGCAGTTGTTTTGTGTGGATCGTTGATTATCTTGGATCGTTGATTATCTAAACTGCTCCTAGCGCAAACCTTGATTTTATGTTGTTGATTAATCATGACAAGGGTTTACTTGGATTCACTCGAAAAAAAAAAGGACAATCAAGCTTTAATTTTTTAATTTTTAGTTTTATGTATTATCAAATTAGAAATAGATGCTTCCTTCCTATTCATACCCAGCTGCAAAATCATGGACACAATTTACCAAGTATTATCTGTTTGTTTTAAGTATTAAAAGCTCATTAAATATTGTACAAAATTCAAGTGACGGATACAATTTGTACATGAATGGAGGTGGGCCAGGAGCATCACATGATTAATAGGTAGACTCTTGTTAGTGACACTACTGCATGCACCAATCTGCAATAAGATAATGAAAGCAACTCTGTGCTCAAATTTACTGTTATGAAATCTACTGTTTTATCGTATTAATCATTGTATGTGTGTGTGTGTCTGTGTGTAAATTGTACAGCTGCAACAGGAACTGGTTTTATTGCTCGTGACATGACATTTGAGAACTGGGCTGGTCCAGCCAAGCATCAAGCTGTGGCTCTTCGAGTTGGTGCAGACCATGCTGTGGTCTATAGGTGCAGCATCATTGGTTACCAAGACACCCTCTACGTGCACTCAAATCGCCAATTCTACAGGGAATGTGACATTTATGGGACTGTAGATTTCATATTCGGCAATGCTGCAGTTGTGTTACAAAACTGTAGCATTTATGCCCGTAAGCCAATGGCCTCCCAGAAAAACACCATCACAGCCCAGAATCGCAAAGACCCTAATCAAAATACAGGCATATCAATCCATGCCTGCAGGCTCCTTGCCGCGTCGGACCTCGCACCGTCGAAAGGTACCTTCCCAACATATCTCGGCCGTCCGTGGAAGCTGTACTCTAGAACTGTGTACATGTTATCATACATGGGTGATCACATTCATCCAAGAGGATGGCTCGAGTGGGACGCATCATTTGCACTGGACACCTTATACTACGGTGAATACATGAATTATGGACCTGGTGCGGCGGTTGGGCAAAGGGTAAAATGGCCCGGGTATCGGGTCATCACATCGACCGTCGAGGCAAATAAATTCACTGTGGCACAGTTTATCTATGGTTCATCTTGGTTACCTTCTACAGGGGTGGCATTTTTAGCTGGACTTTCAGTTTAAAAAAACACTTTTTGTACCATATAGCTCGATATAAGTGTTCTTCAATTGCCATTAAGTGGCTATAGGCTTTTCTACTCTAATTGTAATTGTATGCAAGTGTTAATTTTTCTGTACTATTTTTACTCATATATAGTGCAATTACCATAGCAACGATCTCCATTGTTCCTTCCTTCAGCGTTGCAACTCATTGCAAGTGCTATATAGAAAGCCAAGCAAGGACTAAATGCTTTCTCCCTTTTAGCTTTTTCAAAATCATGGAATGCTTTGCTTCCATGTGCTTTATTCATTGAGAGGCTCTTCGATTTCAGACTCTTTCAATAAAAGCAATTATTTCTCATCTTCTAATTTCAATCAAATTCATTTAGAGGAACTTGAAGATGCACTGTCCAAGCTGCAACTCGTGCAAACATATTTTCGTAATTTTTCTTGGGATATTCAATTCATTTTGTGCTACACAATATAAGGAAATTTTCCGCTTTGTTTAATTTGACAATAGTATTTTGACCTTATATTTAATTGATGCTTGTGCATGCGAGGTCTTTTTTTCTTCTTCTTATTAAATCCAAATCGGCTCAATAATCATCCAGAAAATAATATATTCTATGCATATACTAGTTTGGATTTCATAAAAAATAAAAAAATAGACCAGTGTGATTTAATAAAAAAATCACTGTTAATTTGCAACCCAGTTAATCAGATTAAAAACCTATTAATTTTTATTTGAATTTTTATTAAAAAGATATCATTTTGATTATTTAAAAAAATTAAATTAACTTATCTAAATCATAATAGAAAACATGTCATATCAATTTTTAGATTAGATTTAATAACTATAATTGCAACCATAATTTTCACAATTTTAACCTCAAGTTAAAATCCTAATTTTTAATCATTGAAAAATCTATATAGATAGGGCATGTTTTCTTAAGTTATGAATTGGAAAATCACAAGTCATTATTTTTTATTTAATATTTTTGTGATTTTAAAAGATTAAAGCTTGTAATAGGGTGATAATTCAATTAAATATTGATATGATAAAATATCAAGTTCAATATATTAAAATTCAGCTACAAGCCTAATCCAAAAAATCATTAAAAATTATTTTTTAATTTTCCGCTTTGTTTAAATTTGATAATAGTATCTTGTGCATGTGAGGTCTTTTTTTTCTTCTTATTAAATCCAAATCGGCACAATGATCATCCAGAATATAATATATTCGATGCATATACTAGTTTGGATTTCATAAAAAAATAAAAAAATAAACCAGTGTGAACTAAATCACGATTGATTCGTAATTAGTTAATCAGATAAAAAATCTATTGATTTTTATTTGATTTTTTATTAAAATAATATTATTTTGATTATTTAAAAAAAATTAGATTAACTTATCTAAATCATGATAAAAAAAAAATATGTCATATCAATTCTTAGATTTGATTTAATAATTATGATTGCAACCATAATTTTCATAATTTTAACCTCAAGTTAAAATCCATATAGGTAGGGCATGTTTTCTTAAGTTATGAATTGGAAAATTACAATACAAGGACAAAAGCATTATGTTAATGATGAGTCGTCATTATTTTTTATTTAATATTTTTGTGATTTTAAAAAATTGAAGCTTGTAATAGGGTGATAATTCAATTAAATATTGGTTTGATATTCAGCTACAAGCTTAATCCAAAAAATCATTAAAAATTATTTTTACATATACTAAAACTTTTATCATTACTGTTTATTTGCGAGCTAAGAAAAAAATAATGACATGAATATTTAATTAGTTACCATTACATGAACATATTGGATTTTCAGACATATTTGACCTTTTGACATTGATTTCATGTGGCTGGCGGGTTGTTGCTTGCAGGTGGCGTTCAACACTTTTTAATACTTGAAGAACGTGAGGCTACGATTTTTTTATTGCACCTACGAGTGTCGGTGGATATACAAATATCAGTGTCCCATCTTACTGACATTGTTATTGGTCATCGCTGTTTAGAATTTCATTGCAAAAACTTAGAATTTTTTATATTTTTAAATTATTTTAATATATTAATTTTAAAAATATTTTTTTAAAAAAATATTAATTTAGTAGTATGATTGATTTGACCCGTTAATCATCATGTATTAAAGCTGATAATATTTAAAAAATAAATTTAAAAATCTATTTATTTAAATTATATCCTTTAAAATTAATACAATAATTTTTTTTTATTAATGTGGGTGTCCGGGTCGTAGTATGATTGATTTGACCCGTTAATCATCATGTATTAAAGCTGATAATATTTAAAAAATAAATTTAAAAATCTATTTATTTAAATTATATCCTTTAAAATTAATACAATAATTTTTTTTTATTAATGTGGGTGTCCGGGTCAGCTTGCGTGTACCACGACTAATCTCACGGGCCCTGAAGTTAACGACCATGTAAGTTTCCTATGGCCATTACATGAGCAATCAAGTACTTAAATCTAAAACCATAAAAAAAACAAATCTTTTAATCCTAAATTCTTATCAATTAACCATCACAATAACTTTAGATGTATGGGTGTTGAATTCATGCACCGGACAGATGCACGCTTTGAAAGGAGGTCTGGTTCAATTCCCTAGCCAGATTTATGTCCCACTTCACTTCCTATGTATGTAATGTAATGTAATACATAGGGTCTAGTAGACTCTAGAGTCCCATCCCATCCCATCGAGCTCATCCCTTCGTCAAACGCAGCCACACACCCACTGGCTTGCTATGAGACAATGGGGTTTCTCCATGGCCTGTGTTCTTTGTCTTACCTTTAAAGAATGAAAGAACTTTTCAAATTTGTCCCCTTTTTTTACTCCTGAAGAAGAAAATGGGGTCCGTATCGTTGTAGTTTCTGTTTTTCACTCGACCACGGAGAAGAAGAAACGGTTCAAAGGATAATATATTAATATACTATTTTTTAATGTAGAATAATTTTTTTAAAATAATATTTTAAATTTTATTATTAATAATATATATACTTATATTCACATATATTATTTTTTAATTTTTTATATAAAATATTAAAATTTCAAATATTTTTTTAGTGCTTTTAAATAAATATAAACTTACTTGGATCAACTTATATAATTAATACCAGATTTTTTTAGCAATCAATCATAAATTTAGTTTTATAATTAGCAATAATTTCTTTTCAAATCCTTGATATGTTAAAGTTAAAATAGTCATCATCACAAATATATGTTAAAAATTTACATACAAAAATCAATCATGTTCTTAAAAAATTACTTTTCTAAAACAACAACTAAAGTTGTTTTTTTTTTAAATTTATTTAAAAAAAAAGATCTATAAAAGCTACCACGCAAAACACTTGAAAATAAACCGAGCTATCTTGATTCTTACATGTATTTGTCCCTTTTCCCATTTCTTTTTGTCTAATCCAAATCATCTCTAGATTTGGATTCTATGTGTTCAAGAAGTTTAGAGTTTCCTTTAGAGTATTCGCATCTACCTTCTGATAAAATGCAGACCGCAAAGAAAAACATGCGGAGTGTTAGATTGGACAGAAAGCGTTGAAGTGAACAATTCTAATTCTAATTGGCTAACGACATGGTACTGAGAGTAGTAGATTTGGGTTCTATGCTGTTCTGAGTCAACAAACGTATATGGTGCCAGGTGGGTTGGGTTGGGTTGGGTTGGCTCACTTGAGTTAGGCAGGAAAGGACATGTTCAGGCCAGCTTTGATTAGATCGCCGTCTTATCCTTTCAGTCATTCTGATGCCATCCACCAAATGCCAAATTAAACGCTTTTACCGAAACTGGTCCTTGAGCATCATCATGGCAACTATCTGTTAAGAAATTTACTTCAAAGGTTCTACTGACTTCCATTATTGACTCACCTAGAAACACCATTTATTTTGCTCCTAGACCCATTGATATTACTATATATGCTGATACATTACCATATATATATATATATATATATGGAAGTATAATTATAATTGTTTTTTATTTAGAAATATATTAAAATAATATTTTTTATTTTAATAATCTTAAAAATATTTTAAAAAATATTTTTGATATTAATGCATTGAAATAATATGAAAATATCAAAAAATATTAATTTAAAACAAAAAATTAAAATAAAATTTATTTTTTTCTCAAAAGCATTTTTGAAACACAAAAATAAATTACCTAAATTATCACAATCTACCTTTTTCAACAGTATAATAACAAATTGTGTATAATTTTCATTCCTATACCAGTACTGTTTTCAAGATTCACGTATATTTTCAATGATATTATTGGTGTCATTTCCTTTCAAAATGAGCAAATAGAAAGTTTTTTAAGGTTTAGATTATATTATAGTTAAGAGTTTAGGGCTTAGAGTATCTCAGGGGTTATAGTTTTTTAGAATTTAGGGTTTTTTAATTAAGGGTTAGAGTTTATGGTTTTTTAGGGGTTAGAGTTTTTTAAAATTTAGGGTTTAGGGTTTAAGTTTTTTAGGTTTTAAGTTTGTCATTTAGGTTTAAGGTTTAAGGGTTTTAGAGTTTAGAGTTTATAGTTTAGGGTGCTTTAGAGTTTAGAGTTTTAGGATTTAGAGATTTAGAAATTTTTAGGGTTTAGGGTTTAGGTTATTTTAGGGTTAGGATTTTTTATTTTTTATTTTTTAAGGTTTAGGGTTTTTTATTTTATGTTGTCTTAGGGTTTAGGGATTTTTAGGGTTAAAGTGTTTTAGGGTTTAGGATATTTTAGGGTTGGGGTTTTTGTAGGGTTTAGAGTTTATGGGTTATTTTAGGGTTATGATTTTTTATTTTATGTTGTTTTAGGGTTTAGGGTTTTTATTATGTTGTTTTAGGGTTTAGGGTTTAGATTATTTTAGGGTTAGGGTTATTTTAGGGTTATGATTTTTTATTTTATGTTGTTTTAGGGTTTAGGTTATTTTAGGGTTTAGGGGTTTAGGGTTTAGAATTTTAGGGTTTTAGAGTTTAGGGTTTAGGTTATTTTAGGGTTAGGATTTTTTATTCCATGTTATTTTAGGGTTTAGGGTTTTTTAGGGTTAAGGGTTTTAGGGGTTTAGGATTTTAGGATTAGAGTTTTTTTATTTTATGTTATTTTAGGGTTTAGGGTATTTTAGGGTTATGGTTTATTATGTTGTTTTAGGGTTTAGGATTTTTTAGGGGTTAGAGTTTTTTAGGGTTTAGTTTAGGGTTTAGGATTTTTTAGAGGTTAGAGTTTTTTAGGGTTTAGGGTTTAGGATATATTTTAGGGTTAGGGTTTTTGTAAGGTTTAGAGTTTATGGGTTATTTTAGGGTTATGATTTTTTATTTTATGTTATTTTAAGATTTAGGGTTTTTATTATGTTGTTTTAGGGTTAGGGTTTTTTAGGGTTATTTTAGGGGTTATCTTAGGGTTATGATTTTTTATTTTATATTGTTTTAGGGTTTAGAGTTTTTTAGGGGTTATAGTTTTTTAGGGTTTAGGGTTTTTTAGGAGTTTAGGTTTAAGGGTGTTAGGGTTTTTTAGGGTTTAAGGTTAGAGTTTTTTATTTTATGTTATTTTAGGGTTTAGGTTATTTTAGGAGTTTTTTTAGTGTTAAGGTTTAGGTTTAGGGTTTAGGTTATTTTAGGGTTAGGGTTAGGGTTTAGAGTTTTTTATTATGTTAGGTTTAGGGTTTTTTAGGGTTAGAGTTTTTAGGGTTATGATTTTTTATTTTTTAGGGTTTTTTATTTTATATTATCTTAGGGTTTAGGGTTTTTTAGGTTAGAGTGTTTTAGGGTTTAGGGTTTAGGGTTTAGTATTTAGGATATTTTAGGGTTATGGTTTTTGTAGGGTTTAGAGTTTATGGGTTATTTTAGGGTTATGATTTTTTATTTTATGTTATTTTAGGGTTTAGGGTTTTTATTATGTTGTTTTAGGGTTTAGGGTTTTTTAGGGGTTAGAGTTTAGGTTTAGGGTTTAGGTTGTTTTAGGGTTAGGGTTTACTGTTTTTTAGGGGTTATAGTTTTTTAGGGTTTAGGGTTTAGTTTATTTTAGGGTTAGGATTTTTTATTTTATGTTGTTCTAGGGCTTAGGGTTTAGGTTATTTTAGAGTTAAGAATTTTTATTTTATGTTGTTCTAGGGTTTAGAGTTTTTTAGGGGTTAGAATTTTTAGGGTTATGTGTTTAAGGTTTACAGTTTTTTAGGGTTTAGGTTATTTTAAAGTTTAGTGTTTAGATTTTAGAGTTTAGAGTTTTAGAGTTTAGGGTTTAGGTTATTTTAGGGTTAGGATTTTTTATTCTATGTTATTTTAGGGTTTATGGTTTTTTAGGGTTAAGGGTTTTAGGGGTTTAGGGTTTTTTAGGGTTTAGGGTTAGAGTTTTTTATTTTATATTATTTTAGGGTTTAGAGTTTAGGATTTTTTAGGGGTTTAGGTTTATGGTTTAAGTTATTTTAGAGTTAGGGTTTATTATGTTGTTTTAGGGTTTAAGATTTAGGTTATTTTAGGGTTTAAGATTTAGGTTATTTTAGGGTTAGTATTTTTTATTTTTTAGGGTTTAGGGTTTTTTATTTTTTATTGTCTTAGGGTTTAGGGTTTTCTAGGGTTTAGAGTTTAGGGGTTAGAGAATATTTTAGGGTTAGGGTTTTTGTAGGGTTTAGAGTTTATGAATTATTTTAGGGTTATGATTTTTTATTTTATTTTATTTTAAGGTTTAGGGTTTAGGGTTAGATTTTTTTTATTTTATGTTATTTTAGGGTTTAGGGTTTTTTAGGGGTTAGAGTTTAGGTTTAGGGTTTAGGTTGTTTTAGGGTTAGGGTTTACTGTTTTTTAGGGGTTATAGTTTTTTAGGGTTTAGGGTTTAGTTTATTTTAGGGTTAGGATTTTTTATTTTATGTTGTTCTAGGGCTTAGGGTTTAGGTTATTTTAGAGTTAAGAATTTTTATTTTATGTTGTTCTAGGGTTTAGAGTTTTTTAGGGGTTAGAATTTTTAGGGTTATGTGTTTAAGGTTTACGATTTTTTAGGGTTTATGTTATTTTAGGGTTAGGGTTTTTAATTTTATATTGTTTTTAGGTTTATGTGTTTTTTAGTGTCAAGAGTTTTAGGGGTTTGGGGTTTAGATTATTTTAGGGTTTTTTTTAGGGTTTTAGGTTTCTAGTTTTTTTTTAAATTTTAAGTTTAGAAAATTTTAATATTTTTAGTAATAATGAGAAATACAATGTGAATTGATTTTGCCTCCAATTAATATATTGAAAAGTACCTTTCAGCTTTTACATGTCAAAAATAGATTTGAAATTTATAAAACCAATCTTCATGACAAATTATATCACAAATGATCTTTTCAATAATATAATATATAGTTTGGAACAATCAAATCAAGACCGCCAAATAATAACTCAAATGTTGTTGATCTCTGTAGATACATACACCCAGACACTTATCAACCTTCCATGAATATACTAGATAAAATGTCAAGCATTCTTCACGTACATGAACTTTAAAGAATCCAAATTTACTACTTAAAAGATGAACAAGAAATAAATGAGAAGTGCAAAGCCAGGGTCTCAAGGGAATCAAACTTAAAAGATAATCGTGTGTCTTAGAAGATGGACATGAAACATTATTGTCCTCTTTTTTTAAGAAATTTGCTAGAAAGAATATCAAAAGATATTAGTTACTGAAGTATCATCAATCATGTCCACAATACTGCTGAAAATCCTACGAGAACTATTATACAACATACCAAATTTTAAGAATTTTCAATTGTCCTCAATAATCCTCTTATCAATTATGGCAGTTAAGGTCAGGATTGATTTAGCCTCGAGAAATTGTCAATAGTAGGATTAGTTACTAAATATCAAGAATGTGATGTAACAAATTTCCAGCAGTCCCCAAGCTTTTTATAAGAAGGGCAGATGCTACTTGTAAGGACAAAAATTTGTAACCCTTTATATACAATAATAACTCTCAAGGCAGCAAAATTACATACATGGAATCACTTGAAACCAGCACTATACTGTATGAAGAGCACTACTAGTTTTCCTCTCTTTCAAGTATATATGCAAACATATATATGAGGTATTGAAATAGCATCTAATAAGCAAAATAGTAATGCAATTGTTGAATATGGAATTCAACCAAGCAAGAATGCAAGATATATAAATAACAAACAAGCACACCATATGTACAGTGGGAGGATTCATCATTATACAAGGATCTAGTTTCTCAAAGTCTACAACCTCTGACAAACCAGAGTATATAATAATTAGAATGCTAGCATTCTAATAAAGAATCAAGAGAGGGAGGGCCTGTGCATCAAAGAAAAGACAGGACAAGAAAAGAGGGAGGGCCAGTGCATCAAAGAAAAGACAGGACAAGAAAAATAAAAAAAACATAGAGTATGTAAACTTTAAAATTTAATGCAACAGTTAGATAATACTTTAGCCCTTTTCTGTTTCTACAATCCTATTATTCAATATAAGAAAAGACAAAACTCTCAACAAGCAAATCTTATTAACTAAAGTGCTCAAGTATGGAATGGTGTAACAGAACAAAAAAGTGATTTATGAAATCAATTTAGTAAAAAAATGTTATTTATGTTAGTACCAATTTTTATGTTTGCTTACACAAAATAACACATTGAAAAGTTGCTCCATCAGCTCTCGTCCCCTTGATTCCATAGCAAGAATTCAAAAATCAAAGGAAGAGATAAATGCCAACAAACAAAACTCCTTACAGCCACACCAATAATGCATCTATAAATAGCAATATTAGAAGCATATTATCCATATGACCTTTTATCTTCAAGCAAGTCTGAAAAAATATAAAGAGAAAAATGCAATAAAGTTGAATGAATTTTGTTCGTCAAAACTTAATTATAAGGCTTTTATATAAATCATATATGGTATAGACCTTTTTAATACATATTTTCACGTGTAATAGAAAGACTATTAAACAGGATGAACAAGTGATACACACCTCACATGAGTGATTAATTAGATGAGCAATACTTTCAATCCTTGTGATTAATCAAATGCTATAAAGTTTGATCTAAACATACAAGTCACAACACATCCTACATTAACAAGAAAAGGAAGAGTAAACTTCGATCTCAACAGCTTTATAGAGGACTTCAATATAGTAAGCAGTCAATCTCTCAGAAATAATCACATTAGTTTAGGATGATAGTTTGTAGTTGTGCTAGATGACAAATACATGAATACAAAGAGTAAGGAAATGACAACATTCTCAACAGAAACATACCATCTATGAATTGTATACAAAGCGCTCTCTCTTATCATCTATTAGAGATCTGACAAGTTCACCAATATATTAAATCACCTAAAAAATCATGTTTATGAAGAAAATCAATTCCAAATATAAGTCGAAAAGAGAAATATTTGTTGTTACTCAATTTTGGACCCCATGTGTTGGAGATGATATATACCTCTTTTGAATTAAGTGTAGGAGTTTAACTCATATTCACCAAAAGATTGACAAAAGCAGAGAGAAATATTTTTTTTCAAAAACCTTGTTTGAGCTGTTTTCTGCTTTTTTATCCTACCTTTTTGTACCAAAATCATCAGGTTTTCTTAGGTTGATCAGGAGTCTTCATAATGCTAAATTCGTTCCTTCTTTATCTAGTTTTTAAGGTTGGATAAATCCCTCAGAATTTGCACTAAAAAATAGTTCTACTGCTGTCGTAATTTTTTGTTCCAACTTAGGCTCTGATTCTGATTTGGTTTTATACGATATCTGACCATCCTAGCTATATTCTATCACTCATGACATGTTGAATAATTGACCTACACCTTTATTAGGTCCTAGGAATCATTGTTCTTAGTGTAGATTCTTAGTCAAATTTGGATGCTCAGCATCATCAAATAAAGAACCTTTTTGACCAATAAGATTACTGCCAGAATATGTTCTCTAAAAGATTTTATCTCACTTTGATTCCTTCACCAAAGTTGTAGTCCTAGACACGTAGATGAACTTGAGCTTTTAAATCACTTGATTTTGATATCATAAGCTCAAGATATTCATATTTGAATATCTGACGTGAAGGTAGAAAATTTTGCTGCGAGAAGAATTTAGCCTAAGTTCGCGGGACTGATTCGAAGGATTTTTTTTGGACCAAGGACTGAATCGAAAAGTGCTAAATAAAGGATTGAATTGAAGAAGGATATTAAGAACTGGAGAGGGGGGTTAGATCATCATAAATGACAGGATTTTTACCACACCGAATAAGGAAAATAAGACTTTGCAGCTGCACCCTCTATTTGATTTCTTTTCTTTTTTTTTCTGTTGTTTTCCTTTCTCATCACGCCTGATTTTTGGAGTTGCAGACCATATTTTTATTGCCTCATTTCAAATAGAGTAGTTGGCTCTATGAAAGGAAAGAAAAGAGTCGTACCATCCTCTAACTAGAAAAGAAATTACTACTGATTATAAAATCAGAATCAAATATTTTGGTTTCCTATTTCTGCTCTCGTACCATCCTCTAACTAGAAAAGAAATCACTACTGATTATAAAATCAGAATCAAACACCTAATATTACACTCTAGAGTTAATGTAATATTTGTTTTCTAAATAAAACCATGTATAGGCTATATAGAAGCCTCGTCTGCTGACCTAAAGAAAGGAGGAGAAACATATTCAAGACTAAACCTATCCTCTCTAGCAAAGTAGCTGTAGCCCTTCCCTCCTCTCATCTTTTTAAAAACAAAGCAGTCCCCCCCTTCCTTTTGGAAAGAAACCAAAACGAACGCCCCAACTTTTCGCCCTTCACCTTCTTCCTCACTCACCTGCTATTCTCCACAGACACCCGGGCATAAGCCTCTCTTCCCCTGTCTTAGCCAACTTACAACATCCAGCCACCACCTCCTCATCTCTCTTAATCGATTGCAACCCCTTCGCTAGACCTCACTCCCCCAGCCTGCAACCACCATAAACACCATTTACAGGCCTTCCGTCTCTGTCAACACAGCCCCTAGAAATGGCTCTCCATTCATCCTTTTTTCTCCCTCAGCTCAGCCTCGCCTGATAACATTCAAAACCAGATGGAACCAGCAGAAGCCACACTTTTCCTTAGCCGCAATAGCAGAATCAGCAGAAGCCATCCTTCCCTTCTAGCAACACGACAAACAGAGGAGAAATATCGATCAACTAGTGGGCCACCATTTCCCGTTTCATCTACAACCGCGCCTGAAACAAGCAGTGACAGCTGCCAGCAAGCCTGGCTCCATCATGAACAGCAAGCAGGGGCGTCCTTCGTGAGCAGCAACCAGTCGTCTTCCTCCACTTCGCCTCCAGCTGCTGCCTCGCCAGGTAAGTCTTTCTTTCCCTGTTCTTGTTTTGCATTTACTAAAGCATTTAGGCATTATGCGAAGGTAAATTAATTACCTTCGCACTGTGCAGTGCATGCGTGAGTAATTCACGCATGCAATCTGCAATAGTGCCTCGCCGGGTCACTAGTTCCGGCTAGTTACCCAACTAGGCCTGCTGGGTTCAGCCCAGTCACATGAGCCGAGCTGGACCCAGCCCAAAAAACAAAGAATAATATCGTTGGTTTTCTCGTGTATTTGGTTTATGGTTTGTTATTTTTTTTATATTGTGGAAATATAATTCTAGTATTAAAATACCCGGTTTTTTTCATGAATTATTATTATTATTATTATTATATGTCTAAAAAACAAAAAATATTTTTTTGTGTGTTGCATACGGCCAATACCCTAACATGTTTTTGAAAAAAAAATTTATATAAAAAATATTGAAAGTTTTGAAAATGTCTTTTGACATGGATTTTTTAAATATATTTATGGTTTGTTATTTTTTTTATATTGTAGAAATATAATTCTAGTATTAAAATACCCGGTTTTTTTCATGAATTATTATTATTATTATTATTATATGTCTAAAAAACAAAAAATATTTTTTTGTGTGTTGCATACGGCCTATA